ACCCCATAGCCATAACGTGGACGGCTGGCGTTGGAGCTTCTGGAGCCTTCGATTGGGGCGTGGCAGCGGCTGGAGCGACGTGGAGCGGCGGCAGCTGGTGTAGTCCCTAGGGTATCATAACCCTAGGGTTTCGTCTGGCGCCATCTGGACCGTTGGATCAATGCTAGATCCAACGGTGGAGAAGCAAAGCGGCGGCAGCTGGATAGAAAACCCTAATTGGGTTTTAGGGTTTCTGATTTGGGCCAGTTGGGTCCTTTGTAATTGGGCCGGTCCAATATGGGCCTGTTTGTAATTATTTTTTAATAATAATAATTATAATAATAATAATAATAATAATAATAATAAAATGAGTAAAAAAAAAATTTAGTATCTTCACCCCTAATAGAAAATTCACAGTTAAATTTGCCTATGAAGCTATAACAGCCCGTGAGCAAAACAAAGGAGGAAAATTTTGAAAGATTCTGTCCAAATACTAAAACCTACCTAGGATTAAAACCTTCCTATGGTTGTTGTGCAAGGGAAGATTACTTACCAACGCTGAGAGGATTCGCTGACATATGGCCTCAAACGGAAGTTGCCACATATGTGGTGAGAAGATGCCCGGGAGCGATTGAAACCTGGAAGCAATTCATTAATCATTCACCCTAATGATCGGGAAAAATTCTTAAATGGTGATAGACAATATTGGATCAAAGAAAACTTAATAAGTTTAATCTTACCGCTGAAGCTTGCGATTTGCCCACTTTATTTGGGGTCATCCTTCGGATAATGTGGGAAAGAAGGAATATGAGCATTTTCGAGCCTGAAAGAGTAGAAAAAGAGACGATCGTTGAGAAAGCAACCCGAATGACTGGAGAAATAAACACAACTAGTTTAAATACCAGAACTCGTATCAAAACTAAGAAAACGGAGACTTGGCAACCGCCGAGAGACCCATGGATAAAAATCAATATGGATGGAGCTAAGAAAACACATACAGGAGAAGCAACGTGCGGGGGAGTAAGTAGGGATCATGAAGGTAAATGGCTGTTTGGTTTCGCCAAGAAAATAGGCGTGTGTTCAGCGGCTGAAGTTGAACTTTGAGGAATCTATGAAGGATTAAAGGCAGCGTGGAAGATTGGAGGTAGAATGATTCAAATTGAAACAGACAGTCAAGAAGTGATAAATTTGCTTAAGCCTAATCCCTGGAAGGAGGAAGGTCTTGGCATTATTCACCATATTGACGCCTATCTGGCAAAAGATTGACAAGTTAGAGTAATGAAAGCAAACCGAAACGATAATAAAATCGCGGATGGGCGTGCAAAGTACGCGTGGAATCTTCCCAGGGGTCTACATGAATCAGATACGCCACCTGTTGCAGTTGTTATGGCTACTCAAAAGGAAATTGCTGATTAGGTGTCTACGTGCCCTTGTAACAAGAAAAAAAAGCTGAACTAAACCATGTGTTTAATGCTATTAATTTAGACTTTTGATTACCAGTCAATGTAATTCACGTTCATGATAAACTGTGAGGATTAAGCCCAATGAATTCTTAGACAGTCTTTTTATTTAGTAAAAAGGTTGAAATATCAGAAATGGGAATTGATCCCACGCCTTCTCAAGAGGACCAGAACTTGAGTCTAACGCCTTAGACCACTCGGCCGTCCTAAATCAGTTGAAATGGGGCTCTCATGAAATGGATTTGTATAAAATAAAGAGAGAACTTCGTCAACATCCACATTTATATGGGAGTTTGCGGGAAGTGGAAAAGAGAAAACAGCGGAGGCAGTTATTTCATCACTTTCTTTGATCCACCAATCTTGCCCAAAAGTTTGTGCCCACTGTCATCTTTCATATTTAGGGCGTAAGTGAGATGACACAAATCATAAACTACTTAAAACTAATTTAGTTAAAGTTTGAATAATATTTGAATCGAAAGAATTTGATTTGAGTTTGAACTTAAATTCGACTCGAATTTTTAATAATTCGAAACAAACTACTTGAAATTTAATTTTAAATGTTCGTTGCAACTTGAAAAAATAACATATTTAACTTTTAGATTTTTAAAGTAAAATATTAATAATTTAATATTTCTATGTTATTTTCTAAAATATACAATATAAAAATTTCATGTATTTAAGGTTCAGGTTCGAGTTCGTATTCGATTTTGAGCTTCAATCGAACTAAGTCTCGAATTGTTTTAAGTTCAAGTTTTTCAAGCTTGAGTCGAGCTTCAACTTTTTATTTTGAATCTAAGTCAAAATTAACAATTTTAAACTCGTAAGTTTTCAAATTGAGTTGAACTCAGTTCTAAACTTTTTGAGTCTAGCTCTAATATTGGAGCTCGATTCGACAAATTTATAACCCTACATATATCATACACGTAATTTTTTGGTCCAATTCGATATTTAAATTTAGAATCAAAATTTAATTTGATACTTAAACATTTTTTTGTCAATTTAAGCATTTAAATTTGACTTTTAAATTCAACTTAATACATGAACTTCACTTTCATGTTCAAATTGATCATCTATTATAAGTATCAATTTAGATTAAAAAAATGAAGTTCGTGCACTAATTTGAATTAATAAATTAACTTCATGTACTTAATTTGATCAAAATTATTTTAATATTAAATCACAATCTAAAATCAAATTGCTTATCTTTTTTCTAGTATATTTCTTTACGTGAGTTTTAAATCCACTAGAAACACTTTTCTTCATTTTCTTAAAATTCTCTTCTCCTCTGCTTCAATTAGATTTAAAATTTATCAAAAAATATTATGATAACTGGATTCGAACGGTGGGCACACATATATTAATAATATAAATGTTTTAATACAACCTAATTTCAGAGTGGGCACCATAGAATTTTCGAGTGGACGCGTGTATTAATGTTCAAAAAAGTGTAATTACAGAGAACGTGCTTCAGCTATTTCATTTATCATATATTAAAGTTTACAAGACTAAATCCTTTATATACAACCCACCAGCAGTTACTAGCCTAACTAACAATCTAACTATTTAATAACAACAACCTAACTAATTATCAATAGCCTAACTAACCAAATAACTGAAAACTAACACTCCCCTCAAGTTGGTGGTTAAAGATGTTGATTAACCCCAACTTGGAACTCAAATATTCATGTTGTTGAACTCCCAAAGCTTTTGTTAGAATGTCTGCTTGCTGGTCTGTTGTCTTCAGATACTCTGTTTTAATTATTCCTTCATGAATTTTTTCTCGAACAAAATGGCAATCCATTTCAATGTGCTTTGTTCTTTCGTGGAAAACTGGATTTGCTGCTATTTGAAGAGCTGCCTTGTTATCACACATCAACTTTGCTGGTCTTGTGTTTTTAAACCCAAGTTCATTCAGTAAGCCTGTTAACCACACTATTTCTGCTGCAGTCATTTCCATGCTACGATACTCTGCCTCTACAGATGATCTTGCAGATGTGTTTTGTTTCTTGGACTTCCAAGATAACAAAGAGTCTCCCAGTTTCACACAAAAACCTGTTACTGACCTCCTAGTCATTGGGCAAGTTGCCCAATCTGAATCACAAAAGGCTTGAAGTTGTCATTAACTTCCTGCACTCAACAACACTCCTTGACCTAGACTGCTTTTGATATATTTGACCACCCTTAAAGATGCATCCAAGTTTAATTTCCTTGGTTGTTGCATGAATTGACTCAACAATTGCACTGAATAAGCAATGTCAGGCCTTGTGTTGGTGAGATAAATCAACTTCCCAATCAACCTTTGATAAATTGTCTTGTCCTTTAACAGCTTATCTTCTGAAGTCAACCTCATATTTTGTTCTAAAGGAGTTGCAACAGGCCTTGCACCCCCCAGGCCAGTTTCTTCAATTAACTCCAATGCATACTTCCTTTGACTTATAATTATTCTTTTTTCTGATCTTAATATTTCTAAGCCAAGGAAATACCTTAATTCACCAAGATCTTTCATTTTGAAGCTTTTATTCAGAATTCCTTTGAGTTCTTCAATCAATACATTGTCATTTCCAGTTATCAAAAGATCATCCACATATATGAGCATTATGACTACTTTGCTTCCTTTGAACTTAGCAAACAATGAGTAGTCAAACTTGCTTTGAGAATATCCTGCCAACAGAAGAGCCTCTGTGAGTTTCATGTTCCACTGCCTTGAAGCCTGCTTTAATCCATACAAGGATTTTTGCAGTCTGCACACCACTACTAAAAAAACCCCTTTAATGACGCGCATTACGCATCATCTATGGGTGCGGATGAAACACAAATGCCTATCGTTGAAGCCACCGACATGAATCTCAGATGACACGCAATTGTGCGTCATAAATTTATGACGAGCATTTATGACACGCATTTGTGACGCGCATTTATGACGCTCATTGCGTGTCATTGAAGCCCCCGTCATAAATGAAGACGACACACATTTGTGTGTCATAAATTTATGACACGCATTTATGATTTATATTGCATGTCATTGAAGCACACGTTATTAGAAAAGATGGCACACATTTGTGTGTCGTGATTGTATGTCGTAAATTATATATATATATTGTAGATTGACAAATAAGCAAACTAAATCACATTTAATGCCTCATAATACTAAATATATATATCATATTATATATAAACAATCCATTTGCATACAATAAATTCACATTAAGTTATCAAAAATATTGTAATCATATGTCGATACAAAATATCACGACATAATAAAATTTGTCACATAAGATTCCTCAAAACCCTATACAAATATAACGGGATTATGTTCTATCAAAATGAATCATATATAGATGGAACCTTCAAAATATTTGATAATTTGAGCACAAAACATACAATGTCAGTAGGCGTTTCATGTTTCTGAGTACAGAAAAATCCTGACTTGGCCCATTTATATCACTAATCCTCCTGCACAAAAGATAAATGCAATATTTACAAACACATCAGTGTTGATACTATGAACGTGTCCAGATACGTGGTTTAAAATAGAGGAAAATTTGAAGAAACTTACAAGTCAGTTAGATTTCTTAGTAAATTAAACGTCACCGGCAAATTCTGAGTTAACTGATTGAAGGAGAGCATCCTGAAATTACAATGAGCATGAAAACAAATCATTTGATCAAGGCCAATTTAACAAGAAATTAAGAGAATCGTAAAATATTAAACAAAAAAGAAGAAGAAGGTACTGAGTTTTTCCTTACAAAGTTTCCAAGTTCACTAAATCCCCAAGTTTAGGTGGTACAGGGCCCGAAAATTGGTTTGCTTCAAAATTCCTGATAAAGAAAAGCATTAAACATCCTTAATATATTTCCTACCGAGTAAAAAAAGGTATATGAAAAGTCTATAATTTTCTAGCACCTACAACATCTAATAAAAAACAAACTAACAGAGTTTGTTGTTTTGATTTTGCAATGCAAATTTTTCTAGGTAGTCAATCGTCCCTAAACCCTGAAAAATCTAACTAAATAACTATAATTAACAAAGGTTCAGAACATACAGATATGTGAGACTGGTAAATTTTCCCAGGTACTTCGGAATTTCTCCTGACAAGCGATTTACTAGAAGAGAACTGCACAAAAACTTTTAGGTTGATATTTTAAGAGAATAAACTTATGTTAGGAGTTCTAAAAACTTACATAAAAGTCAAATTCATTGAAGCACATATACTTGGAATGGTCCCTTCGAGGTAGTTGTATGCAAAATCACTGCAACAAAAAGATAACATAAAGAGATGAAAGATACTACTAAGCAAAAGTTTTGCATGATTATCTCCCTAAGCTGTAGAATCTGGTCCCTAGTATACCGCACATGATCACGATCCTCAAATCTTGAGTCTCCAGCCTACAACAGTATGGAAATCGAAAACTTCATATTCTACAACCCGCATGTATTTCAATATGCAACATGTTGATATTTAATTAATGATCTAAAGAATAAACCAGGCAACAGAAAATGCAAACTACAAGGTATATTCCTAACATATTAATAAAAAACTAAACTTATCTAACATTAAAAAAACATAAGCTAAACATATCTAGAGTAACAAACAAAGAATAGGGAACCACATTTGAAATCTAATGGTTTTGTATCATAAAGATGTTACCACAAGACCCAACCTTTTGCACTCCAAAATCCTCAATAAGACTTAGTTAAAATCCTATACACTTTAAAAAAATTATTCTTCATCAACTAGGAAGATCAAAAAGCAATTGAGTGACAAATATGTAACTGTAAGTTATTATCTTACATACAAGAAGTAGAGTTTAGAAACTCCATAAGAGTGTTTACTTAATAATGTATTGTTAACTTCTTTACTTAGACTTTAAAAGACACGTGGCAATCGATTAAACCAAAAGAGTTTTTAGCTCGCAAGTCACAACAATCAAAAATAGGGGAACAATAACCAGTGTATAGTAGAACCGGTTAAGATCCTTAAATCTTTTTTATCAATGAAACACCTCACTTGTATAAACTATGTAAGATCCTTATTTAAATCAAGTAAACGTACCAAGTGTACCAAAGAATTAGGACAAAGCTGATTACATTTAGACAGCTACAATTGGAATAAGCCCATGCCCATTCAAACATTATACATTACAATAACAAAAGAAAGTTAACAGCTACAATTGCAAACATACATATTTAGACATGTTTATCAAAAGCTACCTGGTTTGCCAATGCTTTCCCACCATCTAGCACTTTGACCTTTGAAGTCAAACTTAACTGCCTGCGTCTCTTATATGTTCGAAAACTCTCACCTGCTCCTGAACTTCCATCACCAGAATCATTCACACATTCATATCCAAACCCATTATCCACTGGTTTACTCTTGGAGGACTTAATTTCCGTCGCGACAAGAGGCTGAATGTTGATCTCGGCCTCCCCCATAAAATCATCAGCCTTGAAAGTATCTTTATCATACACAAGCTGCAAAGTATAAAACAAGGAAGAGTGAGTTTAAGCTTACAGGCAACAAAATTCACATTTTTCCTTTCACTGTTTACGAATCAAACTCACCACTTTCAAATGAGGAATGTTTTCTGGAATTTACAACATTAAGCTTTCGTTCCAGATCGGATTTAGGTTGTTCCTTATGACACGAGTCTTTACCAACTGCGAAAAAGGGGGGGAAACTGAGGAAATTAGATCACTACAATAACATGCTTCATTAGATTTCTTCATTTCAGTTCAACATGCAATAATACCATTCTATGTTATTCAGATTTGAGTATAAATGTTGCTGATACGTATGATCATAAAAAGAAGCATACTTGTTGGCCCAATGCAAGAATGACAAAGGGATCGCTAGTGAGCATGTCTCGGACTGCTAGATCGGTGCCTTTAACTACATTAACTTTAATCAGTCCAACAAATTCAACCATACCTGCCTATAAACAGTGAATTTAAAGAAGCATTCAGTAACACACCGATAAAACAATCCATGTTACAAATACTTTCAAAGCAATACAAGATCAAACAAAAAAAAAGTAATTACCAAAGAGTTGCTCTTCTTACTCTTCAGTTGATCACAATCTTTTCTTCCCCAGCTGTTTCTAAATCTTTGACCGATTCTATGTCTGCTTTATTTCTCACTATGTTTCTTATCACTAAAATGGTTGTTGGAAACGTTTCGTAACATGGACGAAGAAGTTTGATGGAGGCAGTTGGTTTGTCATTGCCTTCCAAGAATTCTTGCATCTCGTATTTTCTTCTAATAAAATCAGAGCGTTCTTCAATGGAGGATTCTGATCCGGGTTTACTAAGGCTATCAGGAAGGAAAGCTTCATACTTATTGTTTACTACGTTATTGCCACCCAAATTTACCAGAGAATTAACTTGGCCATCCGTCCATTCATCTAGTTTTACTGATAAAACCTAGCACAGTTGCTTCTCGAATTAGAAAACCAGCTAATGAAATGTTATCTTGCTCCAACTTGATACTTAAAGCAATATAAAAAGCATACCTTTGATATATGCATTCCAAGGCTTCTATGAACACCGGAGCATTTGATACAAACAAAAACTCCAAGACTTAAAGATCTAATATACAGAAGAAGAAGAAGAAACAAATAGTAAAACAAAAGGCAATGCTAATTTAACATACCCAATTTAAGCACCAAAAAGAAAAGAGGGGCAAATGTTATCCTTGAATATGTTTAACACATATTCAAATCCAAATAACATAACCCAGAGAGAGTCAAAAGCATGAGATAACTTACACCCATTTAGGATCCGGAGATCCACAATCTGCACAAACACTATTCCCAAACTCTTCCAACATTCTCTCGAGCCTTGCCCGTGCACCTATTTAATGGATAATACAAGTTAAAAATGAATTTAGTTGAAAGCATCCGATATTCGACATTCATACTCAAATCCGAATAATATAGTTGTAACATGTAACAGATGGGATAACGATACATTCGACTTAAGGGGATAATACCGGAGGATTTCCGTTCTTTTCTGAGAAACCAATATGTAGTAGTCTCTGCATCACTTGCTCGATCCCAACGTGGTGTTTCTGAACATAAGAAATCATACAAGCATGACCCTGATCCTACAATTCCAACATAATCAAGTCAACCATGCCCATATTATTAGATAAACATTTATGTTTTCTGAAACATGTGCTAATTTCACCCGAGTTTGCAAAGCATTTCACCCCAGAGTTTGGGTTTCAGTGTAACAAAGCAGCGTCATCTTCCAAATTAACATAAAACTATCACATAAACGCCTTAAAATCATCAAATTCAGTGGGAAAAAAAATTGTTATGCAACTAGGAAATCAAATAAAAAAAAAAGAAAATTGAACGGGAAATAAACTATCCCCTGCTGGTCTGCTCTCTATTTCCACGAAAAGAAGGCGAAAACATAGAAATTTAATCAAATTAAGCAATTTAATCTAACCGAGCTTCAGTATTTACTAATTTTAAATAATTTGAGGTTCAAGAATTATAAATATCATTAAACAACTATGTCTTCTCTCTCTCTCTCTATTTTTCCTACATACATTTCTCGAAAACCAAACAGAAAACAACAAAAGGAAAACTCTTAATGGAAATGAAAAGAGATTAAAGAAAGTTTACATGAGATTAAAGTTTAAAACCCTAAACGAATTGAAAGAAGGTTTTACTATTACTTTTGTCGGAAACTTTGTCGTTCCTCTGTAACTTCTCATCTTACAAATAATCAGTCACGGTAAAGGACAAGACTATTGTGCTGAGCCCATCTCAACGTCTTGGGATTAAGAATGGGAACCTTTGATAGACCCGATTCCTGAAACAGGAAGTGGCTGAAGAGTTCAAGGGCACCTCAATCCTTGTGGTGAATGGCGAAAAAGGGAAAAAAAGAAAAAAAAAATGGGGGAAGCATGCGGTGTGAACTTTGTTATCGAGGGGGAAGAAGCGGGAATTAAAGGATGAAAGGGAAAATTAAAATACGACTTTTACAGATGACACACAATTAAAATTGTACTCCGTATTTTTGTAATTTTTTTGGATTATGACTATTAAATATGACACACATTATTGTAAGTCATAAATCGTTCAGATTTTAAAAAACATGACATTTATTTTATGACACACAGTTTTTGCAAGTCATAAATTAGCGTGTGTCATCGTTCGTGTGTCATTAAAGGTATATTTTCTTGTAGTGCACCCTGGTCTCCCCCTGACTGCAAAATCTTTCAGGTAGGGACATGTATACCTCCTCAACTAAATCACCCTGGAGGAAAGCATTGTATACATCCATCTGAAGAAGAGGCCATTGATGAATAGAAGTAAGAGCCATGACTGTTCTAATAATGACCATCTTTGCCACAGGTGAGAAGGTCTCAACATAATCAACCCCTTCTCTTTGAGTGCATCCTTTAGCAACAAGATGAGCTTTAAATCTCTCCACTTCTCCATTCGAATTATATTTAATGCGATACACCCATTTACTTCCAATAAGAGTCTTATTAGAAGGCAACGGCACCAATGACAAGGTATTATTAGATTCCAAAGCTAAAATCTCCTCATTCATGGCTTTAATCCATTCAGGATTTTGAATGGCTTCAGTATAAGTCTTAGGCTCAACTAAATGAGATATAGAAGAAAGGTAAAGTTGAGTTTTAGCTGGAAGATGAGAATAAGAAAGAAAGTTAGAGATTGGATAAGTACCTGGAAGAGAGGAAGATTGGTAGGACTGCACATAATCATGTAACCAAGCAGATTGTTTTTTGACCCTAGTAGACTACCTAGGGGGATAGAAATGCTACTTGATGAAGAGCCATCAGAAATAATTGGCTGAGGTGAAGGTTGAGGTAAAATGGAATCATCTGTTGAAGCTTGAGGTGATGCAGAATGAGGTGAAGACCCAGAATGTATAAAAGATTAAGTGTGAGGGGGCATGACCAGAAAATCAGAATCATAAATTTCTTGAATAGGAAAAAATAGAGAAGAAGAAGAAATGAGAAATTGGAAGGGAAAAATATCCTCATGGAACTTAACATCCTTATTAACAAAAAAGGTTTTTTTGTCAAGATTGAACAGAAGGTAGCCTTTCTGAATGGCAGAATAACCCATGAAGACAAAAGGTATTGCTTTTGGGGAAAACTTATCCTTGTAATTTGGTTGGGTGGCATAACATAAACAACCAAAAACTCTCATATGAGACAAATTGAGCATTTATGGATACTGTCAGCATGAAACTTATGAGATTGTAAATATGGAATTTTATGTAAACTAGAGAAAGAGTAGTGTCCTAAACGAGCATGCCAAAGTTTTGTATTATTGACAGTTGAAAGATTCATACAATTTGAAGAACCCATGGCAGGACCACGAGAAAAATAATTACAATGATTAACAGAAAAAATACCAGAATCAAAAGTTGAAGAATCAAAAAAATACAGCCCACGAGACTCCCTACCAATCCCCTTCATCTTTCAAGTGGAGAGACCCTGTAAAATGCAGAAATCAGGGTAAAATGAAACAGTACAATTAAGCTCTTTGGTCAGCTTATAAACAAACAAAAGGTTATGTGCAAAATTTGGAATAAACATGACATTTTTAAGGGAATTATTCTGGTCAAGAGAAAAAGAACATCTATATGTTATAGGGGTTGTTTTTCTATTAGGTAAGTATACAAATCTAGAGGATGATATGCAAGGAATAGGAGATACTAGCTTTTGAAAATCTGATAACATATGGTCAGTGGCCCCTGAGTCTAATATCCAATTGAAAGAAAGACTAGTAGTGGCAGAGTTAATACCTGTAGTATTTGCTGCAGCAGTTGGCATTGTATCCTCAGAAGGTGTCTTGTTCAAGAGGTAAAGTATTTGATCATACTGAGCCTTTGTAAACACAGGAACACTGGAGACAATATCTAATTTCAGAGTGGACATCATAGAATTTTCGAGTGGACACATGTATTAATGTTAAATCATTTATATACAGCCCACCGGCAGTTACTAGCCTAACTAACAATCTAACTAATTAATAACAACAACCTAACTAATTATCAACACCTTAACTAACCAAATAACTGAAAATTAACAATTAATGAAGAAAACTTCGAATTTTAAAAAAGAAAAATTCTAATTCTAAGAAATTTTATGATAGAACACATATCTTCCCTAGCTTCAACGTATGCCTGCCACATGATGGAAACACCTTAATTTCACTCCTCTTGTTTACCTTCTTCTGGAGATAGAATACTTTAACAATAACTAACCACTAATCCACTTCTGACAACGACTCTTTGCCTAAATTAGATAAATTCATGAGATGAAATTGTCACGATCCGTTTTCATCGTTACCCTTAACATAATTGGAGCCAAAAGATGTCCAACGTCATTTTGTAACTAAATTTCTGAGTTAGATTTCCGTTATGAATAGTTTGGTAACTGTCTTGTCATGATCAAATGCCCGAACTAGAAGATCATTTGGATTCTGCGGACAATTAAAAACCGAGTCGGGTGATCCTGTCATGACGATCGCGTGAATCCACTCTCTCTCTTTCTTTGCATCTTATTTCTCATTTTCATTTCTCACCGCCGCATGAAGTCAAACTCTAGAAAGACACGTGGTTTAAACAGCTGACAGGGAAGCTTTATGCGTGTAATGAATGGAGAATTGGTCTTAATACGCTAAAATATATAAAAATAACCGACAAATCACGAGGAAATTAACGGCTTTGATCTGATTGCTTCCCATCGAAAACATTAGCGTTCACATCTATAACTTCTTTAACATGTAACTTCAAACTTTGTAATTGTATTCTATTTCTCTCTTTTATTTATTATCAAATTACATTTAATCTTTTTTAATTTTAATTTATAAATAAAATATATAAAACAAAAAATAATTCATATACTACCTTAAGGTTTGTATAAGTTTATTGTTAATTGATTATAAACATATATAATCTTATAGTCTGTTGAAATTAATATAAGTAATTAAATAATTAATTAATTAATTATAACGTCATGATGTCAACCCGATTTGGTTTCACAAATACGTGGTCTTGATATTTTGAAATCTTTAAGGAAAATCATTAGTACGCCATAAACTCTCATCTTATATCATGCGTTTCGTAAAAAGCTGATTCTCGTAACCCTTTTTCTCTTCCTTTCTTTCTATTCTCTCGTTGTTTCTAAATCCGATCGTGAGAAATGGCATCGGGGTATTCCGCCGGTGGACCGGATTTTTACGCTGGAATTGAAGGCAGATCCGTGGAAAATACTGGCGCCGTCAGCAACAACCAACCCACTGCGCCGTATAGGAAGCAAATCCCCGGAATCTTCGTGGTTCCGGCGTCTCAGATCGTGAACAGAGCCACACCTAACCTCATCGGCAATCGAACGCTAGCTGACTTCGAAAAGCAACAACTCCAATATAATAATCTAGGCCGTAATAATCTTTATCTTCGTTCCGTTAAGCCCAGGACTAATTACCAGCACAGCTCTTCGATTTCTCCGTTATCTCCCATCGGTTTCTCGTCCAACTTGTCGCCGGACGTTATGGGTAATTTCTCCTCTCCTTCCGCTTGTATATCGCAGCGATATCACGGACTTCCGCTTTTACAACAACCGAGGCCGGAGCAGCTGAACCCGGTTGAAACACCGGTGATCCAGCAGCAAGACTCGGAGAAGAAGATGATGAATCAGCTTCACGAACTGGAGAAACAGCTATTCCAAGACGAAAACGACGGCGAAGGAGATGCGGTCTCGGTGATTACCAACACAAACAGCGAGTGGTCGGAAGCCATACAAAAGTTGATCAGTTCCGGCAGCCCTATCAACCTCGTTGCTCCATCTCCTACTTCATCGTCTTCATCCACGTCGTCTGTGGCTTCTCCGGCATTGGCTTGTTCAAAGAAGACAATAATAGAGGCTGCATCAGCTATTTCCGAGGGGAAATCTGGAGTCGTTAACGAGATCCTGACCCGGTTAGTTCAAGTCGGTAACGCTAAAGGGAATTCAGAGCAGAGGCTCATGGGTTGCATGTTGTTGGCACTTAAATCGCGGGTTAACTCAGTTGAAAACCCGCCGCCAGTGGCTGAGTTGTTCAGCGAGGAACACGCCACCGCTACTCATTTGCTTTATGATTTGTCCCCTTGTTTTAAGCTCGGGTTCTTGGCAGCAAATCTGGCTATCGTCGATGCCACTTTCGAACAACCAAGTTGTAATAAGTTACATATTATCGATTTTGATATCGGGCAAGGAGGGCAGTACAAAAATCTTCTCCACGCGCTATCGGAGCTTGGGAGTAAAAAACCAACACTGGTGAAAATCACAGCTATTGCAGATGATGGTGGGGATGATAGGTTGAAGATTGTTGGGGATCAATTGAGTCAAATTGCTGAGCGAGTTGGAGTTTATATGAAATTTAATGTGGTAACGGGTCTTAAACTCAGCGATCTGACTAGGGAGTCGCTCGGTTGCGAAGCGGACGAGTCATTGGCTGTTAATTTCGCGTTCAAGCTTTATCGAATGCCTGACGAAAGCGTGTGCGTGGAGAATCCAAGAGACGAACTTCTCCGTCGCGTGAAAGGATTTGCGCCGCGCGTGGTAACACTGGTGGAACAAGAAATGAATACCAACACGGCGCCGTTCGCGTCGCGGGTGGCAGAAGCTTCCGCATATTATGGAGCTTTATTTGAGTCGATCCAGTCGACGGTGTCGAGGGAGAACTCACAACGAATGACGGTGGAGGAAGGGCTGTGCCGCAAAATCGCCAACTCAGTTTCGTGCGAGGGGAGGGACCGAGTGGAAAGGTGCGAGGTTTTGGGGAAGTGGAGGGCCCGGATGAGCATGGCGGGCTTCGAGTTGAAGCCACTGAGCCAGAGTGTAGCTGAGTCGATGCGGGGTAGACTCAATGGTGGAAACCGTATCAACCCGGGATTCACCGTTAAAGAAGAAAACGGTGCTGTTTGCTTCGGTTGGATGAACCGAACTCTCATAGCCGCATCTGCTTGGCGATGATTTAACCTATTCAATTTGTCTCAAATATTTTATACATTTAGGAAAATTATATATTAAAAAGGATAGAAGAAATGTAATCCAAATAACTTTGATTTGGAAATTCCGTGCCAAAATTTACGGGTTAATTATAAATAACCACCTAAATAACTTTTATTTAGAAATGTGACACGTAGAATTTAAATGTCGTTACAGTCCTTACACCTAAAGTGATAATGTTTATAAAGTTGGATAGCTAAATGATTCAAAAAAAAATTTTAAATACATATTTAAAAAAATATAATTTGAACACTTATTTTATAATTAAGTCAAATTTTATTTATTTATTTATTTCGATTGATGTTCTGACCATTGCTTTAAGATATAAATAATAGAAATAATGCTTTACAGTATTATTATAATAATTATTTTTTATCTAATTATTGTCCTAAATTATATTTAATAGTATTTTATTTTATTTTATTAATTTATTGTTAAATATAAATAGAATTATTGTTGTGATCATTTTTTTTTATTTTTCTAATAATGATGTGTCGTTATCCTAATAATACATCAGCATCATTATTAATTTTTTAGCGGTAGATAATCAAACTGAAATCAAAATATAACTTTAATTATAATTTTTTAAAATAATAGTTGAATGATCAAACATGAATAAAATAATAATTAAATAACTAAATATATAATCCACTCTTATTATTTTAAACTTTATTGGATTTAGCTATTTGAAGATTACGTGTATCATATATAATAAAGATGAAATCACCAAATGCATTATTAAAAAAATATCTTATATTTAATTAAAAAAGAAAATAGTATCTTATATTACAAATGAATAATTATTATGCACGTATTTCATAATTTCAATAAAATTTTGTTGATAAAGATATTAATTAAATGAGTGTGACAATAATAAAAAATGATGGGAACAAGTAAGTTTGCATTTTGTTAATTAAAGCTAGACACTGCCATTTATTAGAGAAAATCGCCTCAGTGACCAAAAATGCCTTATAATATACGATTTTAACCAACTTTTTTTGGATTTGCCAAAATGACCAACAAAATCGCAACGCGATCCCCAGAATCGCAAATCAGTTTCCAAAATCGCAACGCGATTCTTGAAAATCGCAATGCGATAGTACAAATTCGCATTGCGATTTTCCAGAATCGCAACGCGAACACATAAATCGCAACGCGTATCCGTAAACCGCAACGTGTATCCGTAAATCGCAACACGTATCCGTAAATCGCAATGCATATCCGTAAATCGCAACGCGTATCCGTAAATCGCAACGATAATCCGTAAATCGCAACGAGAATCTGTAAATCGCAACGATAATCCATAAATCGCAACGAGAATCTGTAAATCACAACACTGAAATTTTGGGTATATAACTACGCAACAGCAGCAAATCATAAACTAAATCCCTTAATCGCAACTCATTCCATCTCCATCTATCACTCTCTCCGGCGACATCCGTTCCTATATCCAACGACATCCTTCCCAATCCGGCAACAAGTTTTAGTTTCGCAGCTCGTCTGTTTAGTAAATTAATTTACAACCATGAAATCATCTAATGTTGATCATGTTTGGATAGATTTGTGTTTTGGAGGGTCATGGGATAATGTTCATGGTGTTTTACAATATATGCCTTTACCCATGAATCTTCAACTAAAATTGTCTTTACAAAAGTTAACTTATGAAACTCTAATGGGTCAAATTAGCATCTCCACCCGGATGCTGTACTCTCAGCCATGGCCCGAAGCAGGTTTCCTCAAACAATTGTCTTTGTGCAGGTGAAAGCTTCGAAGCAATTGTAGTGGCTAGGCTAACTTTATTCCTTAATGTCAATGAAGCCGAAAAAAATTTCTACAAAAACAATAAACATACCAAGTTAGATATACCAAAAACTACACTGTGAAGATATACCAAAAACAATAAACATAAAAAGTAGTAGTTTATTCTTGAAACTAAAATTTGCAACACTGTTTTGTCTTTTGGTTGAAATGAAAATCGCAACGAGAGAATGACTATCGCAACGAGAGAATCGCAACGCGAAATGAAAATCGCAATGCGATTTTGGTTTCGCGTTGCGATTCTCTCGTTGCGATTTTCATTTCGCGTTGCGATTCTCTCGTTGCAGATAGTCATTTTCGCGTTGCGATTTTCATTTCTCTCGTTGCGACTCTTCTGCAAATTGAAACTTGAATGGATTGCATTACTTCAACCAAAAGACAAAACAAAGACAAAGACAAATACTAACTTGAAAATCGCAACGAGAGAATAGCAACGCGAAATGAAAATCGCAACGAGAGAATCGTAACGCGAAATGAAATCTAAGTGAAATGGTTAATCTATCCAGTAAACTTATCATCAGTTTCAATATGAAAAACCTACAATAATGCAAAAATTTCAAAATAAAAATAATTAAAAAAACTAACCCTCGGAGGTTGATTTTCCATTTCTGAATATTGTGAGGGATTTCTGACCGTGAATGGTTGTGAGGGATTTCGCCGGAGATGGGGACGGAAATCTTCGGAGATGGGGACGGATTTCGCCGTAGAGAGTGAGAGATGGAGATGGGACTGAGTTGTGATTTTAGGTTTTAGGTTATGAGTTGCGATTACGGGATTTTGTCTTAATATTCGTTTTTGTAATTTGAAAATAAAATACGCGTAGCGATTATAATGGCGCTTTAAAAATCGCGTTGCGATTTACGGATACGCGTTGCGATTTTACGTACTGTCGTTGCGATTTACGGATACACGTTGCGATTTACGGATACGCATTGCGATTTACGGATACGCGTTGCGATTTACGGATACACGTTACGGTTTACGGATACGCGTTGCGATTTATGTGTTCGCGTTGCGATTTTTATATTCGCGTTGCGATTCTGGAAAATCGCAATGCGAATTTGTACTATCGCATTGCGATTTTCAAGAATCGCGTTGCGATTTTGGAAACTGATTTGCGATTCTGGGGATCGCGTTGCGATTTTTATTTCGCGTTGCGATTTTGTTGGTCATTTTGGCAAATCCAAAAAAAGTTGGTTAAAATCGTATATTATAAGACATTTTTGGTCACTGAGGCGATTTTCTCCATTTATTATATACAACGAGATTTACATGGCATCTACCCATTAAAATTTTACGCACGTAAACACGAATTAAGTTAACTTAGTGGATAAAAAATGATTATTATTCTTAGATGTTTTAGATTTGAACATCAGAGATTTCAAAGTATTTGAACGTAAGTTATTGTTGATTTTGTAAATAAACTGCTATGTAACAAACAATGACTCAGCATAACAAAAGAACATTCTTCAAGCAGTCTAACAACCCTACGCCACCTCACGTATATCATGCATGGAGTGCATGCACATCATACGCCAACATTCATGCTGCTCCCTAACATGTCAACATTCTGGTTATTTCCTTCTGCTTCAACAACCAGAAGATTTTGATCAAACAGAACATGAGAAGCCTTTGTCAACGGTTTAGTTAGACCGTCTGCGAGTTGGTGTGAGGCTGGAACATAATTCACTTGGAGAGTCTTGTTAGCTACCTTCTCTCGAACAAAGCACATATCGAGCTCAACGTGCTTTGAGCGGGGTGAAAAACGGATTGGCACTCATGGCTACTGCGCTAGTATTGTCATTCCATACAACTGGTGTGGCATTGATAGGTTTTCCCATGTCCAAAAGAAGAGATTTCAGCCAAACTACTTCAGAGACGGCATCCGCAACACTTCTATATTCAGCTTCGGTCGTTGATCTTGCCACCGTTTTCTGTTTTTTTTTAGCTCCAAGAAACGAGGTTGCAATCAAGAACTACGCAACAACCCGAGACTGAAAGACGGTTGTCAACACTACTTGCCCAAACTGCGTCGGCAAAGGCAACAATGCAACTCTCCTCATCAGAAGTGGATGACTGAAACACCAGGCCAAGATTGATGGTTCCATTTAAGTAGCGAAGTATTTGTTTAACGGCAGACCAATGTCCTTCACAGGGACGATGCATGTATTGAGCTACTCGGTTTACACTAAAGGCAATGTCAGGCCTTGTGTGGCTGAGATACAAAAGAGCACCGACCACACTACGATAGGTCTGAGCATCTTCAAGCAAACCGCCAGCATCTCGTGTAAGTTTGGGAGAAACAACCATCGGGGTCGGAACTAGTTTGGCGTTGCTCATGTGAACTTTGTCAAGCAGTTCACGAATAAACTTACACTGACAAAAAATGAGGCGATCAGAACTTCGTCGAACCTCAATCCCCAAAAAATAACTAAGGTCACCCAAGTCTTTCAAAGAGAATTTCTGACTGAGAAGTTTAACAACCTGCTCAATTGCATCAGAAGACTCTCCGGTCATAACAATGTCATCAACATACATGAGAGCTATCGTACGAACACCATCTTCATTTTTAACAAAGAGTGAAGCATCAGCAGACAAGTTATGAAAGCCTAGCTCAATGAAAAACTGCCTCAACTTGGAATACCACATCCGTGGTGCTTGTCGAAGGCCGTACAACGCTTTTTTCAGTTTACACACAAGGGGAGAACCGTCACTGGCAACCTGTTCGAACCCCAGAGGTTGAGTCATATAAACCTCATCGCTCAATTCACCATTCAGAAAGGCATTATTTATGTCAACTTGGCGAAATTGCCATCCTTTCAAAACTGCAAGCGAAAAAACAACATTCACCGTGGTGGTTTAATCACAGGGCTAAAAGTATCAGTGAAATCATGGCCAGGGACTTGTGAGAAGCCTTTTGCAACTAGGCGAGCCTTATAACGGGCAACCGTGCCATCAGCATGCCGTTTGATTTTGAGTAACCACTTAATTACATCCCACCGCAGTTCGATCACGAGGCAAAGGAGAAAGCTCCCAGGTGTCGTTGTTTAACAAGGCACCATATTCAGCTAGCACAACAGGTTTCCAATCGGGATGAGAAAAAGCTTGTTGAATGGACACTAGTTCATCAACTGTTGCAACAAAGAATTTTGGTTTGTTTGCTGCGTGTGATCATAAGGTGACAATTGCGAAGATCAGGAACG